AATGACATGGAGATTACACATAGAAATGATCGAAGCCAAGGCCTTCAGAACATTCATTAGAGTATATTCCCTATTCAAGAGTGGGCGATTGAGTGCTAACATTAAACTGACCCTCCATAAAGCTCTTATTAGATCCGTAATGACTTATGCTAGTCCCACCTGGGAGTTTGCGGCAGACACCCATCTAGTGAAATTGCAGCGCCTGCAAAACAAGGTTCTCCGCACGATTGGCAATTTTCCTAGGCGCACACCGGTCCGCAAATTGCACATGGCATTCAAAATTCCATACGTATATGATTACATAACAGAATTATGCAGGCAACAAGCAGAAGTCATACAAAATCATGATGAGAATGTTCACAACATCGGACAAGGCGAAGCTCGCCACAGAAAGTATAAGAGACTTAAAGTAGGCGGCGGTCTGTCATCGGACCTTTCAAGCGACTAAATTGCTGTGATAGCAATTACTACTAGAAATAGGGCATCATTTGCTGTACCTGGCCTGGACAAACAGAGGCCTTGCATATACTGTACAATGAAGTAAGTAATAAGTGTGTATATGTAAAGTATGTAAATACAGACAGTGGACTTATTAATACAGCCTTACTGAAAAATGACAGACCCGACCTCTCGTCAGAGAGGGCATGCCAAATGGACAGGACAGCAACTTTCATAAAGAAGAAAACATTTGGTCATGAGCCCCAGCTGGGAATCGACACCAAGACAGACAGACTGACTGACCGTCAGTTGTAACATGACTTTGACTCGCGAGAGCAGTGAACACATCTGGCTCAGCATGTTCAGCCATCAACTCTACACTGTGATCGGTCGTCCGAGATATCAGCTCTTCACTTCAGCTCTAGTTGCCACAGGCCTCCAGCAACCAGGCAACCGAAGCAGCAGCAGCAGCAAGTCTCCAGCAAATGCATCTTCCGCGATTCCAGCAACCGGCCGAGATAGCTGATCCTACCGGCGCACGCAGCACTGCATCACTGGCCAGCTAAACGGCTGTAGACTCCGCCAGCTACTCAGGAGTGAAATTGCAGTGGCACGAACTGCCCCTTGGGGGCCAGATAACGCTTGAACATTATATACAGGGTGTCCCAGGAGGAATGTGCCAAACTTTGGGAGGGCGTCCCTTCTGTTATAGTATGCCGATATAACCCAAAACACCTATGTCCAAACTTGAACGGTTATGGAGATAATGGCCAGAGAAAAGTGTGGTCTTCTGGCGGTCCACGCACTGTACCTGTCAGCTGGCCACTCTTATCTGTGTTTGTCCTTGAGTGTGGTGATGGCAGCTCACGTTAGCCCCATACACTCGCATACCAGAACGCGCAGTCAGCAATGTTACGTCAGCGCTTGCCATTCATGTGTCATGTATAGTGCTTGGAACTCTTAATGACAACTTTGACATGGCGTGCGAGTTTTTTGTAGTTCAATTTAATGGCTTCATATCACTCACAACTTAGTTTGATGTTACGTACATTATTGACATTACAGAAACCACATATTCCTGCCAGTTTTAATATGTATTTGGTAATCAACAAGTGTGTAACACCGGTCAAAGTTTCACACTTCTCTGGCCATTATCTCCGTAACTGTTCAACTTTGGACATAGGTGTTTTGATATATTGGCATACTTTAACATAAGGAAAACCCTCCCGAAGTTTGGCACATTCCTCCTGAGACACCCTGTATATCCTGTTCTATAAATTCCGTTTAATCAATCCAATATATATATATATACACACAAGTGTTAAAAATTTCAAGTGGTTGTCATTTCAAATATTGACGATCCCACACTAATTTATATTTTAATAAGAAATGCTTAGCCGAAATTTGTACGATTAATAGTGTTATATCCATTTTATGATTGCAGTTAAATGGTAGTTTTTGTTGATATGTATTTGCCTGATGGTTGCCGATAGTGGCTGAAACATGTAGCAAAGCCACAGCTGAATGCTGACTTTGATGTTTTACTATTTGCTGTGTTGTGATGGTTCATTAAACAGTTGTATATTGTAGCACAGCGGGATGCATGAAATTAAGATTATAAACGCCTGTCAAGCAAGATGCATATACAAATACGTGAACACAAAACTAAAGCTATTGAACTGCAATGCTAATTTATATTTTAATAAGAAATGCTTAGCCGAAATTTGTACGATTAATAGTGTTATATCCATTTTATGATTGCAGTTAAATGGTAGTTTTTGTTGATATGTATTTGCCTGATGGTTGCCGATAGTGGCTGAAACATGTAGCAAAGCCACAGCTGAATGCTGACTTTGATGTTTTACTATTTGCTGTGTTGTGATGGTTCATTAAACAGTTGTATATTGTAGCACAGCGGGATGCATGAAATTAAGATTATAAACGCCTGTCAAGCAAGATGCATATACAAATACGTGAACACAAAACTAAAGCTATTGAACTGCAATGCTAATTTATATTTTAATAAGAAATGCTTAGCCGAAATTTGTACGATTAATAGTGTTATATCCATTTTATGATTGCAGTTAAATGGTAGATTTCTGTTGATATGTATTTGCCTGATGATGGCTGATAGTGGCCGAAACATGTAGCAAAGCCACAGCTGAACGCTGACTTTGATGTTTTACTATTTGCTGTGTTGTGACGGTTCATTAAAGAGTTATTAATTTCAGGTTTCAGAATGTTAAAAGAGACGTGGCAGACTCAAGTAATATACAAGAACAGTTGTAAAACATGTAGCAGAGCCAATCCTGCAAGTAAATATACTGCATTTTATAGTGAACATCACAAACGTGTTTTACTTTAATTGGGTAAGGTCCTCCTACAGCTGCATACATCAAAAGGAGGCAGAGGGCAGCTCTGCTATTGACACTGCATTAGACTGAAGAAAAACTGTAACCATAAAATTATGAACATCTGTATTTAATAATATGTACTGTTACTACTGCTTCAACTTCATAACTTCAATACAATTGTTGATATAAATAAAGAATAAAGACTTCAACTACAGGGGATGGACAAACATATGGAAACACCTAACAAAAAACACATTACCGTGACTAATATGGTGTAGGACAACCTCTGGCTTGCAGAACTGCTTTCAGTCTCCTTGGAATGGATAAATAGAGGTCCTGTATGATTTGCAAGGGAATCTTGTACCATTCTTCCTGCAAAACATTGGCAAGTTCTGTTAACGATGATGGAGGTGGATAGCGAGCATGCAGATTGCTCTCCAAAACAGACCATAAAGGCTTAATAATATTGATATCTGGTGATTGTGGGGGCCATGGCAGACGTGACACTTCATCTTCATTCTCAGAAAACCAGTCCTGGACGATGTGAGCTATGTGAACACAGGCATTGTTGGCTTGGTAAATGGCATCACCATTAGGGAACAAAGTTTGCATGATGTGATGGACCTTGTCGCCCAAAATGGTCACATAGTCGTTGGCAGTGACGTGACCTTGCAGAGTAACGATGGGTCCATCAGAATACCATGATATGGCTGCCCATACCATGATCGAACCCCTGCCATGTTTCACTCTTGGCAGCAAACAATCTGGATTGTAAGCTTGGGATGGCGTTCTATAGACGTAAACTCAGCCAGAAGTCGGAAACAGTGTGAAGGTGGATTCATCCGACCAAATGACCATCTTCCATTGCTCCAGAGTCCAGGTTTTATGACTTCGGCTACACACTCTCCTCTTAAGTGGCATTTTGATCACTGATGAGTGGCTTTGGAATTGCAGCTTGTCCAGAAATACCCTGCTTGTGGAGTTCCATTCATTCTGTTTTGGTGCTGACAGGGTTTGTGAGTGTGACATTCAGTTCAACAGTCACTTGCAGCTGTAGTCTTCTTACTTTTCGTCACAATCCTACACAATGTTTGTCTGTCTCAATCACTCAACACACATTTCCGTCCACACTGGTGTTTATTGGATGCAGTTTTTCCAGTCCTCCTGTATGTGGTCATAATCTTGGATACTGTGCTTCGCGAAACACCAAAAACCTCAGCTACCTCGGTTACAAAAGCACCCACCATATGGGCCCCAACAATTTGTCAGCATTTGAATTCTGTTAGCCTGACATGATGCACTAAAAATTGCACAGAACACTGTCTCGACAACAAATGAAGCTTGCAACGTATTGCGGAGGTTGTACAGGTAGTGGCATTGGGCAGATACGACAGCGTCAACTACAAATGTCGCTAAAATAAACACTTCAATTCAGGCATGCATTTCATGAGGTGTTTCCATATTTTTGTCCATCCCCTGTATATTTTCTCCAGTCTAGAACTTCAGTTTTCTACAATAATAATCAGTCTTATATTTATGGCATCTCAGATTTACCCAAAGAATCCACAACATAACTGCACATGATGATACATTATAGCTTCTGAACACAAATGCATTGCTGTCTCTATTTAACACAGGATATTTAATTCAATGATAATATGGAGAACTGAGAGAAACAGGATCACAACAGAATTTGAGATTATTTACCTACTTGGTATAAAATGTTGTCTGTTTTTATGGTAAACACAAAAAAATTAGTAACATGATTGTGATTGTTGAACAAAACAAACTGCACTTCTTGTGCTGTGGCCAACATTGAGTATCAGAAATGTTTTCATGGCCACCAAAATTTTCTGTTGCCATACAGCCCTCTCTCCACCCAAGAAGAAAGTTTCAGAACATTTGGTTCATACCTCGCATTATTAAGAGAGGTTTATTTTTCATAATTGAAAATTATAATTCTGAAATATTTTGTTATCTGTGCAGCCCTTTTAAAATTTATATAAACTGTAGCCTCATTTTTCACATGAGGAAATTATTAGTCCTTGGACAGCTTTTAAGATACAGATCTGAACACTGCTCTTAAAAAACGAATCAGTGGTTTTATAATTACTGAAACTCCATGAATTCCAGTTTCAGAGTTTCTCCATTTTTTGTTATGCAATTGGAATTCCCACATCAGTAACATATGAACATAAAAATAAAATATGCAGTAAGAGTGCTTTTATTTGGAGACTCCTCAGTGTTCCAAAGGATAATCACATTGACCCAAAAATTGTAAGGCTATAGAAATTACACAAACTGAAGAAATTTTGAACTTACAAGGTATTAGAAACAAGTTCTAACCAAATATTCCACTCCTGTAGAGTTTATGCTAAGTGTGAGCAATCTTTTAAAAATGTGTAAAGTGCTAAATCCATAACATCTAAAACAAGTTCCATTTAAAGAAACGTTATTTCTGTCTTAAAATGACTGATCCATTGTCACTGGAGGGGTCGAAGTACCAACAAGCACAGGTTAGAAAATATTATTTTTTTAAATTTCCATTCCCTATATGTAATTGATATCATGACTTGTTTTTCTGCCGTTGTTGTAAGTATCGTTCCATCCGCATTTGTTCAAGCTGAAGCTGGTGACGCGCTGCACCAAGTTGAGTCAGGATGTTATTTGGATCTGAATTAGCATGCACTACATTCCTCTCCACAGCTGGTACCTAGAGGGAAGAACACAGTTATATTGTGTGCGGCAAGCAATATATTAAATACTATTAAATACTGTGTGTTCTTACACACATTGCATTCACATTATTTGCTAATGAATTTCATACACTTTTTTCCTCATTTTCTTGACTTAAAAATCCTTGCAGCAGGGAAGCATGAAACCTAAAATTTTCACTCTCCTGCTCATGAGATTTGAATTTCTCATTTTAGTATCAAGATTATAGTCTTCTGGGATGGCACACCATGTAATTTAATAGTGGGTAGCTATCTACCAAATAAAACAGTGTAACATCCCAGAAGACCCATAATCTTTATAGCTTCTTTTCATATTAATACAGTCAACTCTCGATTATCCGGGGGCAGATAAATACCAGTTTGCGGCTTAACTGGGACTACTGAGGCTTTTTTGAGGTTTATATGTTGTTTAATATTCATTCACTTTCATTTCACATGGCGAGTTGTAACACTATTTTCGCACTAGTGTGAACCGAGCTCTGCATTTTTTGGTCCCGTTATGCTAACACAATGTCCTAGGGTAGGGGTGAAAGAATGCAAGGATTTGTGGAAAGTTTCAAGGACAGATACATCACCCCAGTTAGTATCTTTGTATCGATCTTCAACTGTGTTAGCAAAATGTCAGGGTGTAAAAGGAAGTGTGTTCCATTAAGTATTCAACAGAAAAAGGAAAATGCCGCGAAAAAGTAAATGACAATATTAAATTTTTTTAAGTGTTAAGTGTGAATATTTGTAAAAAATGTTTGATGTTGTTGAAGACTGTGATTGAAATAACTAATCCATATTTCAGTGTAATATAAAAAAAAAGTATTAAATAGGCCATGAGATGACAATAAAAATGAGGTTGAATAAATTTAAATACAGGTAGGCCTATAGTATTATGAAGGTACAGTATTACAGTACTACTTTTAATGAAATTTGTCTTAACCGGGTTTTCGATTAATCGTGATTTCCATCCCCAGCATTATCCCAGATAATCGAGAGTTGACTGTATATGAAAATTTTTAAAATATGTAGCCTGAGTCTCATGAAGAACAGATTAAGAACATTAATGGGAAGAGCAAATTTAAATAATATGTAAGATTTGAGGTTTTCACGGCAGTGACTATGAAGAAAGCAGTATTCTGGGATTTGGCATCGTGTATATGTGGTGTTAACCGACATTTCGGAGGAACGTATCACCTCCATCTTCAGGGTATATGTTCTAAAATTTTATAATAAAACACTTATTCTACCTTTAGTATACTATACTATTTCTTTAATAAAAAATATAGCATACATCATGGAACAATTTCATCCATAATACATAGCAAGCATTTCCAAGCAACAAGTATGTTCTATTCAAAACAATGAAAGAGCCAAAAGTTACAAGTTGTGTTTGTTATATTTCCGTAAGAGCCATGTTTTTGTTCTGTTACAAAACTTATTCTTTAGCTTTCCCACTGCCCTGTAAGTATTGTGGCAGCTTCCCCAGTGCTGAATCATTTTCAGTGGTTTGTTTTATATTCGTTACTTGAAGAATCACTATGATCCCCTACTTAAAATTCAAACATATATCATACGAGGGTTGGAACTCTAATACTGGCAACTATTTATTTACAGCTGATACAAAATAGATGCATGTTTCAAAGTTTAACTGTCCTTCAGTGTAGTCACCAGCATTGTGTACAACCCATTGCCAGTGACGTGGAAGTCGTAGGATACCTTTAGCAGCACCTGTTGTGTTGATAGTTCGAATGGAGAGGTCTACTGCCTGAAGAATCTCTGGAACAGTTCTGAAGCAAATGCCACGAAGTGGTTCCCTCATCTTAGGAATTAAGTCGAAGTCACAAGGACTTAAGTCCGGGGAGTATGGTGGATGTTTTTTTTTCTCTCCCCCTTTCTGTCTCTTCTCTTTCAACTCACATAAGTCATTCTATACATCTTCTAGCCATCACAATCTGTACTTTCCCACTTTTGTTCTACCTCCTCAAAAATGTTCATAGCCACCCTTGTTTCATTCTAGTCATATGCCCTAACTATGCCAACCTTCTTTTAATATCTGTTGCCATATCAGGAGTTTGGCTGAGGTGTGAAGCTGACTACTGACTTCCATCTGGTGCTGAGTTAATAATACATGGCTCTGTACCTTTCTTCTTCCATACATCATCATGGCATGATGCTTGATTACTTAAGCACAGGAACAACTTCACTTTTCTGTATATACTTAACATAATTTTGTCCTTTCCTTTAACACATTTGCTTTTGGTAAAAGTTCTGGGTTAACCATGCGATTGAAGTACCTTGTCTGGCATTTGTCTACTGGAAGGCAGAAATAGCTTTCAGATCCTGTACTAAGCCCCATGGTTTGGCCGCGCCATAGCTCAAGCAGCTAGTCGCTGGCTTCCCACCGTGGCGGCCCGGGTTCGATCAATGTAACAACAGTCACTTTCCATTTGTCTGCCATGTCAGTGACTGGCAATATACACTATCTTGGTAACAACATGGTAATAACATCAGCCACAGTGGAATCTTCATGAAGAAGACAGTTCACCCTCATGATTCATATTCCCCCAGAACAAACTTTCCATTTTACAGTCAAAAAGAAATTGGGGACCATTTTGTTCACTATCCTGTATACAGTGAAGACACCATTTTAAGGTTTCTTTGGTGAGCAGTGGATTCAAATACCAACTGAGGAAAATCTTAGAAGGAGAAACATTAGTACCGAGATTATTTGCTTTGGATCACTAAAACTGAACAACAAATGAGGGCTAACATAAATCATGGAACATTAAATGTAGGATCCACTGTATTAGGATTCACTGTCACTGTCTCTAGAACTGACATCTGAATTTGTCTTCTCCAGGAATTATGAAATATCTTCACAATAGTGATATCAGTAATATCAATAAAAAGAGATGACAGATACAGATGTTTATTTTCATAATATACATGGTCTGACAATAAAGTTCGCAAACTCGTCCCGGGAAAGGTGCTACATACCTGATCGCTGAAAATCATTCAAAGTACTCCCCTTGGGAAGCTATGCACCAATGCCAGCATCTAGTACGCCCTTCAAAACAATTGTGGAACTGGTTTTGTGGAATAGCTTTCAGAGCTGTAACTGTATTACTCCTGATGTCAGTGTCATCCAAATGCCTTCCTTTCAATATTTCCTTTATTTTTGGGAACAAAAAAAAGTAATTTGGGGCTAGATCCAGTGAATAGGGAGGGTGTTCCAGCACAGTTATTTGTTTACTAGCTAAAAACTTCCTCAGAGGCATTGCCATGTGAGCAGGTCCTTTGAGACCATTTTTACACACACCTTCTTCAGGTTTAGTTAAGATTTTCCTGTTTCTCTGTCAATGTTTGCTTGCTCTGCTATGCTCCTGACAGTCAACTGACGATTTTCATGCACAACTTGACGAACTTTTGCAATGTTTTCTTCAGTTCTGCTCGTTACTGGTCATCCTGATCTATCTTCGTCAGTGACACATTCTCTTCCTTAGAAAACTGTGTCACCCATTTGTAAACTGTTGTTTTCTTCATAGCATTATCCCTGCTAACTTGTGCTAACATCTCTCTGATTTTGTTTCACTCTTGCCAAGTTTAATGAGAAATTTAATGTCCAATCCAACATTCTCACAATTGCACATCAAAATACACTCAGACAATAACAGACTCGACTCAGAAAGAGACTGCCATAGATCAACAACAACACAGCTGTGAAATGCTGATATGCCAACGTCATCAAACCACACTGAGGTTTCTGCCTACTGCTGCCGTGGCAAGCACATGGTGAGTTCACGAACTTTATTGTCAGACTTCATAGGCCCTACTGTAACCAAAATATCAACTACGCAGATAGAAACTTACACACAGCCTCATATCATCCAGCTTGCCAGCATTTGATGGAACCCAAAGGTTCATTACCGTGTTCCCAAGAGCCCTCCACTGGTCCCTATCCTGAGCCAGATCAATTGAATACATATCATACCATCCTATCTCTCTAAGATCCATTTTAATATTGTGAACCCACAGGCACTTTGGTCTTCCCAGTGGTCTCCTTCCTTCTGGCTTTCCCACCAATATCCTATATGCATTCCTCTTCTCCCCATTCATGCTACATACCCTGCCAATCACATCCTCCTTGGCTTGATTATTCTAAATTACACTTGATGAAAGGTACAAGTTATGATGATCCCGATTATGTAGTTTTCTCCAACCTCCCATCACTTTGTCTCTCTTCAATCCAAATATTCTCCTCAGCATCCTGTTCTCAAACACCCTCAATTTGTATGTCAGAGACATTTCACACCCACACAGAACAGGCAAAATGTAGTATTGTATATTCTAATTTTTATGTTTTTAGACCATAGACAAGAAGACAGAAGGTTCTGGAATGAATGGTAGCAAGCAGGAAGTAACCAAATACTTGCCTGAAAAAAAAGAGCACCAATTTTTGTGAAAGAAACCCCAGCTAACACTCAGACTGCTCCACCACCAGCAGGGAAGCAATAAAAATAATCACACACTTTGTCAGTCACACGATAGACACAAGACAATCACAGATAAAATCGCAGAGACATCAAATCGACCATAGTTAAAATCTAAACTGAATACCTCAATTAAATAGCTACAATGTTACACATACAATTACACCAACAACATATTCCGTATTGAGGGGGTGGGTTTCCCCATGCACTTAGACCGGTTACTGGTCCACTGTGTGTCCCCCTTTAATTTCTACTGTCTCCATACCCTACCGGTACTGGTGCTTACTATCAGTCCCTTTCTGCCAGCGAGGTTCCAACCTCTTACTGGCAGTGGTATCTAATAGTTAGTCCCTTCCTGTCAGCGAGGTCATCCCTCCTCTGGCAGGGGTTCCTAGTCCCTTTCTGCCAGCAAGGTTTCTACCCTCTACTTGGCAGTGGTATCTAATACTTTAGTATCTTTCTGTCAGAGAGGTCCCCCCTCCTCTGGCAGTGGTACCTGA